CTGTATATCCAAAAACTCAAAGTCCCGTAATATTATGGTTTTAATGAGTTTCCCGACGGTTACCATGATCCCATCCGTAAAATTGATTTACGCCACAGGTCATCGCCCGGATCTAAGATACCTAGAGTTACCACATTGTTTACATTGAGACAATAATAATAATCATAATCGTTAAATTATAATATTTAAATTTGAAAGTTAGAGCAAATGTGGATTTCAAGACAATAAGATGCATATTTTTTTTATTTATTAATACAAAACAGTTATAATTTTTTAATTAATTCTTATAGACAATTGAAGAGGTAAATACAAATGTTCGATAATTTAAAAAAGTTCGATTGGTGCTAGACTCAACTGAGTCAATTTTAAATAAATCAAAAATTTTCTTATTAAAAAAAAAAGTTTCAAAAAAAATAAAATAACGTAATTAAAATGTAAGCGTAGAATGTTTTATTGTATATGAAAGTTCATGTTGAATTGTTTTCTTCATGGTAAGTATATCTAATCATACTTTTTGTTATCTGCTCTCCCGAGAAAAAATATTTATATATAATTATATATATTTATATATAAATTGGCTATATATGATTATATATGAAAAATGGCCAAATATAATCATATGTAATTATATATAACTATATATAATTATATATAACAATGTTTAATTATATATTTATCACATCTAATTAATTATTGGGTTAATTTTATGGATAGAGTATTTAATATGGTCCTACGCAATTCTCTAAAAATAATTAAAATGCAAAAAAAAATGTCAGTCTATAATTTTACTGCTATAACACCAGCGGTCACCCATCCAACTACTAACCCTACTCAATGCGACTCAACTTTGGTGATCTCCGTGCATCTTGAAGTTTCTGTCTGCTATGCTGCTATCTTAGACAATAATGATTCTATGATCTACTTAATGTATCATATATGAGTTTATCTTAAGGAGGTCCTTTCGCCGCCAATGTAAAATAAAAAATATTAGATTATGAGTAAATTCAATTTTTTTCTAATAGTTAAGGTCCTTATTTATCTAATAGTGAGGTTTAAATTATACTTTACCGGACAAATTTTTGAAAAAATAAAATTTTTAAATATTAGTATTTGTTCAAAGTCTTACGAGAAAGTCAGACGTTTGCAGTATTTCTCGAATTATACTATCAGTCATGGATTAGATGAAGTAAAAAAAAAACTAAAAATTAGATTTTCGAAATATTCAGGTTTCTTTTTTGCAATAAAATATATCAGTTACCGAGATATATTTAATAAATTAAAGGATTGGCCATCAGTCGAAGTAATATTGAGTAAATACAGCGTGATTACTGATATGAATTATTAATATCATGATTTTAAAAAACACGCGACAATTTAAATTCAAAAATTCAATAAAACTTTTATTATTATCATAACAATAATAATAATAATAATAATTATTATCTTTTTTCTTTTAAAAACCATATGAAACTTAAATTAATTACTAAAAATTTTCATTTTCATTTTATAAACCGCGCGAAAATTCTAATTTTGAAATTTCACTTATAATTTTATTATTGTAATTATAATATATTATTATTATTCCATCATTATTATTATGATTATTTAATAAATTCAAGAATTGGCTCTCAGTTGAAGTAATATTTAGTAAATACAGTGTGATTACTAATATGAATGAATTATTATTATCCCCGAGAAAAAATATTTATATATAATTATATATATTTATATATAAATTGGCTATATATAATTATATATAACAATGTTAATAATTATATATTTATCACATCTAATTAATTATTGGGTTGATTTTATGGATAGAGTATTTAATATGGTCTTACGCAATTCTGTGTAACCAATCAAAATGCAAAAAAAATGTCTAGATCTAATTTTATGGCTATGACACCAGCGGTCACCCATCCAACTACTAACTCTACTCAATGCGGCTTAACTTTGGTAATCTCCGTGCGTTTTGAAGTTTCTGTCTGCTATGCTGCTATTTTAGACAATAATGATTCTATGATCTACTTAATGCATCATATGAGTTTATCTTATATATAATATAAAAATTGATTTTATAATATATTTGGATAGTCATAGTTCATAATTAATTTATTTTAATAAACTATTCATAAAATAAATAATGATTTTACTATTAGGTAGTAATAGAGCAGACCAAAACTTTTCATAGGAAATGTAAAAAATTTGTATTTCAGAATTATTTAAACGTAATTATGAACACCATTTTGCACTTTTTGTGATTATCAAAAAAAAATTTGTTTCAAATAACAAATTTTGATCACATAAACTATAACAAGTCTGATTAGATCTAATTATATAAAGACTCATTCATATATAATCTGATCTGATCATATATAGACTTATATATGAATTATACATGGGATTATAACAGCCAAGTATGATTATATCCAAGAAAAAATTTTTATATGTGTATTAATTATATATAAGCATATATAATTATATATACTTATATATAATTAGATATGGGACTTTGTATAATCTTGCATGGCTGTATATTGCTCCATATATAGTCATATATAATTATATATGATTATATAGAAAAATTTTTTCTCGGGCTATGATTAACTTTCATAAGTATATCATTCTAAAAGGCTTATCAACTTTTTTTATTTAAGTTGGTAATTGTAACAACACTATTCACTACAGTATCATTTTTATATTAGAAGAAGCGTATCGTAATTTTGATAAGTAAATTGATTGTTACAAATTAAGAAAAAATTCAACAGGATACAATATTTGTTTTACGTTACTTTTGTTTTTTTTTATTAAAAATGAATGAAACCGACGTTCCATAAAAAATTTATATTACATCTATATTTTACAATATAAAGTATTTACATCAAGAACATTAGAAATAATTAAATAATATATAGAATTATTATAAAATGTGTATCCTAAATTTTAACTAATTCATTCATATTAAATCATTTATAAACTTGCACAACATACGAAAATATCAGAAAAATATGTAAAATTTTATTTGACACTGGTTAATATTTTTAATATATTTCCATAAACATATTTTTTGTTATTCAAAATATACTGAAAATAACATTTTTTTAATGTTAGAAACGTAAATAATGTCTAAAATAAAAAAAAATCTATCGTAAAATATGAGAAATAAAAAAACAGATGTTTAACAATAAAGAAATTCGTAAATAAATTTATTCGTAAAATCAACAATTTGAAAAAAGCATCAACAAAATTTCACCAGTTTAAAAATTACCAAATTTATTATAATTATAAATAATCATTAAAAATTTTCTAAATTGAAAAATAAATAATTGAAAAGATTTGAACATCTAAAATAACGTCATACAAAAAATGAGGTTATTGTAAATTATTGTCTTAAAAATTTTTACAGTCTTAAAAATTGCCACTTAAAACTTAAACCGCTAATTTCAACTAATACTAATATTGAAATTCCCCAAGCGTCACAAAAAAAAAATGTTGACTTTTTGATAGATTTCACTCAACAAAAAGTTGAAAAATTAATAATCGTCAACTTATATTCAACAAAACATTAACAAAAAAAAATTTGTGTCGCTTGAGTCATTAAAATTGAACGATTCTAAACCTGGACATTTGTGAAATTAGCCGTTTATAAACTTGGAAATTCATAAAATCAGCCGATTCATGAAATAAGTTCATTAGAAGAAGCGCCACTACTTTAATATAGATGTAATATTAAATATATTTACCTATATAATGAAGTTTCAGGTATTTATGTCTATCAAAATCGATAAATTCAGTTGTTGACATAATAATTTTTCAAATAATTTAATAAATGTGATGGATTGATGAATTCTTTATTAAAGATTTAAAAATTTTTATATTGATATTTTTTTTTTATTTTGAAACTCAAAAATTTCAATAATCTAAAAGTAAAGATTACAATTAATGATTGAATAGATTGCGGAAAATTGGATATAAGGTACGTGCAGGACTTAAGTCCGAAAAATTTGAATTTTTTTTTTAATTTTCTATTTCAGTCAAAAAAAGTATTAAAACCATTTTTCAATTATTTAAAACACATTCATACCGTTTGTTTACATTTATGCCGGTTGAAAAATAACGAGAAGAATTCTTCTCTTTATTTTTTTGTTCACAATAACGTAGCGCACGCTTACATTTAAATTAATGGCGTAAATTACCGAAGGTATCCGAGTGACTCCGACAAAGACTGCTGACTATTTTCTTTTCATTCACTCAACATAGCAGTTTGTCAAATATGATAACATTAACCAAAAAAAAGATAGTAAAATAATTAATCAAAGTTGCAATTGAAAGTAAAAATAAAATTATTAAAAAATAAAATGTAACAATTTGTCCTCAATTTATTGCTTTGAAATGCACGTGAGAAAAATACATTTGGAAAAATTGATAATGCCTGGAAACTTTTATGTGTAAAAAATTCTATTTGTAAATCAAAACCAATAATCCATTATTAACCTCAGAATTAACTAAATTCTGGAAAAAAATTTCCATTTTCAACACATCTTGTTAATATTAATTTAAAAAACTTTGTTCTGTTTTAAAAATTTTTTAAATTGAAATCTACTCTAAGATTTACCAAAAATGTCAAATTTTCCGCAACATAATAAATATCTTGAATTATTCAAAAAAACTAAACGCATATGACTCAAAAATAACAATGCAAACAAATCAATAAGTACATCAATAAAATTTTGAATCGAAAACGATTTGGACTGCAGTTTCTTATAAACATAATAATTAATAAAATTATCAAAAACTTAATAAATATAACCCGCATTGATAATTAAAAACTCCTAACTTTTGATAAATTAAAAGTCAGTTTTATCAAGTCTTACAACAAAATCTATCTCTCTCAGGTGTTGATTAAATCAATACCGTAGTCAAAATAACGCTGGGTTCAAAATCCCCCATCTGTTTTTGGAAGGGAGCGGTTTCTCCCCACTGCTCTTCTTTATCCATAATTACACGCCAGCTGGCTCAGACTCTTCAACGTTCGTCTCCTTATATTTTTCCTCAAATTCAAAATAACTATTGGCCAAAAAGTCCTCGGTATTGCGCTCACTATAAAAAAAATTAATTAATAATTTCGGATAATAATCATTTGCACAAATTCCATGATTGTCAGTAATTTTCCAATCGATTCCAGAATCCAATAAAACTCTGATCACGCCGTCGTTCAAATCTGGACTCAGAACCGCGTAATGAAGCGCAGTCATTCCATTTGTCGTAACAATATTGATGTTGATGTCAGCAGAGCCTTGGCTCATTAGGAGCTTAAGAGCTTCTATGGATCCACTTTTCACGACGACGTGCAGCAGAGATTCGTTGGGGTACTTGTCACTTACACAATTGGCATCAGCGCCAAATTCCAGCAGGAGCTTCATGATGTCCAGATTGTCCAACCCCAGTATGAAATTTTCCACAAACACCATCAGGGGCGAACCGTACTCGGAATTTAAGTTTACATTCGCGTTATTCCTGAGGACCAGGTTCACCAACTGGAGGTTCTTGCTCCTGACTGCCAGGTGCAGGGCAGATTGGCCTCCTGAGAAAACAATGTTGACATCTGCACCGCGGCGAATTAAAAGCTCGGCATAGTCAATCTCTATTCTTTTATTTTTGCTGATCGCTAAGTGCAAGGGTGTGCACTTGGACATCACATTTGGGTAGGGGCTCTCTCCGCAAAGGCTGTTGACGTCAGCACCTTTGTCTATGAGGAATTCGGTGATCTCCAGGCTGGATCTTAGCAAAATTGCCAGGTGGAGCGGAGTGTATGGCAAAGTGACGTCGATGAACTCATTTATGTTCTCAGTTTCTTCCACTGCATGCCGGACTAGCTCCAAACTGTTCATCTTCAACGCGAGGAGCAGATGGTGAGACACATGGTAGATCATTTTAGTGAAAACTTGATAAAGGGAAAAAAAATTACTTGGAAAATTTTAACGAACACTTATACTTTCCACATTTTCAATGGTCAATATTTGATAGACACTTTACATTATTGAAACACTAGTATAGTTGTTATACACGGCACAAGTGAATGACTAATGCAAGCGCTACTGATGTAACAGTTCGAGGGACTCAAATTCTAGTCTCTGGTGCATTCGCCCCAGGGCATTTAACTTTGAGAAAGATAGAAGATAGACTGTAGACCATGGGTTTCTGTCTTTTTTAGAGGAACAATACGCATGCGTTGTAGATACTGTCTAGTAACTGTACAAAGGAATAGAACAGCCGTAAATACTTGAGGTTTTTTAAATTTGAAAGAGAAATTTGTGGGATCATATGTCGAAAGTTATTTTTGGAACGATTGTAATTTTGGGTTTGCCATAAATCGATGGACTTTTATAGTTTTTAGTTTTTGAGTTTATGTTAAGTTTGGAGTGATTTAGTTTTTGGGCAAGTATAACACCCGAAATTTTTTACGTTAATGATTTTCGATTGATTTTAATGAATTTTTATGATATTTTTTTTGCTCATGAAAATTTGGAACTTTACATAATTGGAATTTTATTTTTGAGTCTGATTTATTTTTTTATTTATCGCATGAGAATTATTTGTAGAGGGAATTCAAAAAATTTGGTGCGAAAATTGTTGAAAATTTTTTTTCAGCACGCAAATTTCAATCGTTAGAATTTTTGCATTCAAATTGAAATTCTGCTTAAAAAAAATTATTCTTGTGAATTTTTAGGATTTCTTGTATTTTAGAAGAAATTTTGATAATACTTGTAGATTATTTTAAGATATTTCCTTATAAATAGTTAAACATATAAGGTAAATTTATTTTAGTTATTTTTAGCCGACTCTGCCCGGGGAAAAAAAATTATATATAATTATATAAAATTGTATTTAATTATATATAATTTGATCTAATTTTACATAAAAATATATAAAATTTAATATAATTATGTATAATTTTATATAATTTTGTATAATTATGTATCATTTTATATATTTTTGTATAATTATATATAATTTTATCTAACAGGGAAAAAAATTTTATATAATAAGATATAATTATACAAAATTATATAAAAATATGTATAATTTTATATAATTTTATATAATTATGTATCATTTTATATATTTTTGTATAATTATATATAATTTTATATAACTATATCTTATTATATAAAATTTTTTTCCCTGGTAGATAAAATTATATATAATTATACAAAAATATATAAAATGATACATAATTATACAAAATTATATAAAATTATACATAATTATAGTAAATTTTATATATTTTTATGTAAAATTAGATCAAATTATATATAACTAAATATAATTTTTTTTCCCCGGGATATACATTTCTTCTTATCATTAATATTATTTTTAGATCAACGAATAAATAAATAAATAAATACAATAATTACCTCACGAGAAGGTGGTGCGACAGGCTGACCATTGATGCTTTTGATGAAATCTTGGCCTTTGACCATCAGGACGTAGTAGCATTTTTTGAAGCACTTGGCGTGCTGGAACCATGGATCGTCTTTGGGCTTCCAGTCATTCAACCCACCGCCACAGTGATAGCAGATAGTTTGGTCACCAGTGCCGCGGTAGAAGAAGCCAGCGTCAGCAAGTTGCTCCTTGGTTTGTGGCATAGATTTGGGCCATGACTCAAAACTTTCTAATCTGGCGTTGTAACTCGCGAATTCCCGATGTCTCGATCCTTTGAGCAGGGCGAGGTTTTGACTTCCCAACTTAGCAGTCCTGGGAAACTGGAATTCTGTCTGGCCAGAACGAAAGCCTGGTGATGCGCCAGGTTGGAATTCATCATAACAACCGTATACATCACGACCTCTAGGACCAATTGACGGAACGGTACTTGGATCAACACCAATCGGCACGTTACCACAGGGATATTTCCTTAAGAAATGGCAACTGGACCGCCAACGCTGGTGAACTGACATCGGATTGTCGCCCTCTACCCACTCGCGTATTACGATTCCACATTCGAAGCATTTGACATCATCATTGTGGCCCGTGTAGTAGAATCCAGCCGCTGCCATTTTCGCAGGGTCCATGAAGCTCAGACGCCAGCCGGTGTAGCTCTGCAGTCTCACAGATTCCTGGCGATAATCTGCCCGTGGAAACTCCCGATTATTCACTTCGTCGGACGAGATATTATTGTTGTTGTTATTATTATTGTTGGGTAACTGTGACGCCGGCTGAATCGACGAAAGTCGCAGATTCACCGAAGACATTAAATTATGCAATTTCTTACGCAGATTATTTCTAATATAGTCCGTCATTTTTGATGAAGATGAAAATGATGCTGCAGGTGACAATAATTTATTCCTTGTTCCAATAACTAAATTAGACACTTTGAATTTCAATTTCTGTAATCACAAATTATTTTTCGATTAGTATACCGCTGGACAATTGTTTAATTATATTTTTTTTTATCTTTTTTTTTAATTTCTTTTTTTTTAATATGATTAGATATTTATTATTCTACTAATCTAATATAACGGTAAATAAAAGTAAATTTTCAATTAAAACAAAGTTTAATCCGACATTAATTTTTTTGTTATGACCCCTAAATATAATGATTAATTTAAACTAACTAATTAAGTATAAATAAATTGATTAAATACTGATATACATACTAATAAATGTAATAGATATACAAAAAAAAATATTAGGGATCCCTCACGGTTTTAGAAATGCCGTAAAAATTCGGTATTTATACGATATGACTGCTGTATTTTTACCGTAATACTTCAATTATTTTAGCCAGTTTTTTTGTCGAATTATTCCGAAATAAATTCATAATATTTACGGCAATACAATAGAAAAATTACGGTATAGTAACAGCATTTCAACCGTAAATGTACCGCATATTTACTGTATATCTGCGGTACTATTGCAGTAAAAAACCGGAAAAGAAGATGCCTACTTTCTGTTACCGGCAAAATACCGAAAATATGGTGCTTTACTACTATTTTTCAGTAGCTTAAAATTTTTAATTTCCCGCAAAAAATTTCAGATTTTCAAAAATCGGGAAGTTATTGTTTT